AGTCTTACAGCAGGGATATACAGATGTTGCATTTGTTATATAATTTTTAAAGCCTTGTACAGGTTACAATAGTACTATTAGGTCTTTTTTTTTCTTTTGTTGTTTTTTTTTTCAAAATTTGTGCTTTTTTTTTTCTTTTAGTTTGTTCATTTTCTTTTTTGATCGTTTTCGTTAAAAATTTTTTTTTTCCTCTTTTTGTTTCATACTTCTTGAGAAGAAAGAAAAATTAGGAGAGAAATTAGTCCTAATATTTTAGTTCTTTAAGAGCTAATATTGATTACAAAAGGATAAAAACCTCTTTTAAACAAAGTTCATAAAAAGTACTTTTTTTTTAGCTTATCCATAAGCTTTTGCGATAAGTTGTACTCATGTACTGAAATAGACAACTGAGTAAAGTCAGGCTTTAGATTAGTCTTAAAAGTAAATATATATAAATTGTATATACTAATAACTAAAGAAGTCAAGCCATGGCAAGACTTATCAAAGAAATAAAAAAAAAAAAAAATTTATATAATTTATAATTTGTATACTTTACCCTTGCTTTAAATGATTTGTTAATAGCAATATCTAATGGTTGAATTTTTGAGATTAAACCTCCTGGAATTATAGCTAAATTTGTGTTTTTTTCAGAAAATTGACATTTAACTATATCAGTAATATGAGCAGTAAATGAATCTAAAACTAAAAGTGAACGTGGGTCTACTAATACTCTTGATCGCAAATTCCACATATTTTCAATCCACCATAACATCTCATCTTCATTTATCTATTTTTTAGGATTTGTACGCATATAAACTCCAGCAGAAAATACTTGCTGTGGAATATTAACTAATTTAAAGATAATAACTGGAGGCAATTTAGTCCCATTAGCTAAACAAGTAAGTACAACAGTAAAACATGATTTTCATGTCCACAGGTCTGAATTGAAACTGTATTTGCACTACAATTATTAATTATAGTATTATTTGGAAGGTTGAATGATAATGGGGTTTTGTTTATGTTACTTATTAAGGTAAGAGGATAATTATATTGAATTCGATTATACAATACAAAATTTAAAAACTCTTGTTGTTGCAATCACAGATCTTCAGGGAGTTTTTGAGCTACGGATGTTTGATGCCGATTACTTAATTTGTAATGAATTATAAAGCCATTAATCTACTTATTGCTAAATTTGCTTTCAGTAATACCAGGATAATAAGTAATGTAAGGTGATTTTTGAAATGACGTTTTGGCCTTAATTTGTATCATAGCACGAGTCACAGATTTGAGTTTACTGCGTAATTCTTGTACCTAACTAAAAATAGCCTTCTCTAACTCAGGATATTTAGGTAATTTTCTCTTATTTATTCATTTAATATAAGGCGAGATATTTATTAACTCATTTTTTTTATTATACCAATCTCTTATATTTTGGTTTAATATTAAATTTGGTAGCTGTTGCTCGAACACTTTGACTTGGATGCTTTTTAAAGTATGTAACAATAGCAAGTTTTTTACATGCATTCCATTGCCGTTTTGTTTTATTTGTTACTCTCGCATGTCCACTATTCTTATTTCCATGTACGCATACTATTGAACTTTAACAGGTTAACAGGTAAAAAAAAAAAAAAAAAAAAAATTTGATTTCTTTTATATCGTAATTTACTGATGCAATTATGATGTAATTTATAACGTACCATTAGTTACAGTATGTTAATTTATTAATTATATATTTAATTATAAAATATATCGATATATACTGGTAAATCATATATTGCGGCTATGCTATAAATTACATCATGGCATCTTTGTGAGCCACCTATACAGTAATTTTATTATAACCATGTAAAAGACCCCCTGCTATAGTATTCCTATTACAAAATATCTCCATACTTGTATACCCTCTTTGTAAATAGTACCTGGGTAGATACTATTCAAGAAATTCGATAGTTTATTGAAAGATACTATAGTCAGTGCTATATGGTATTTGATTTGGTTTAAGTCTAACTAAAAACCCAAATTTGAATTTTTAGCAAAATAATAGATTTAGAAATTGAACTAGTGTAGTATTAGTTTTTTAGTTTGGTTTTACAAAATGCTACTTCTGGTATTATATGACTATAAACAACTTTATGAAAATTGTGGCTTAGTTCTAATAGCACAGTTAGCTAATAATCTTTAATATTGTAGCATAGTATTAGCCATATCCACCACACTAGCCACTTAAGGTTAACACTAGCCTTGCAGCTATAGCTTATACTAGCTACAAGCTACTGAGGCTAGTAATCACATAACTATCTGGCTTTAGATAATCTTTTATTTAAAAATTTACTGTACATTACATAATATATTTTTATCAGAAGAAAACCTCTTTCTTCCTATGTAAGATTTATTAGCCAATTAAAAAATATATAATATATATTATATATACTATATAAGATCTTTCTAATCTCTCTCCTCTTTGTTAATATTATATAATATCTGTAAATCCTCTTAGAATTCTTCTTCTAATACATTTATCAGATTAGCTTTCTTCTGTTATTACTAATACTTATTTTATTTTTCTTAACACAAATTAAACTTTTTTTTGCATCATTATCTGGATTAAAGCTTCTCTCTTAAAATATTAATTTTCAACACTTCTTTAAATAACTCTTTATAGGCTAGCAGATCATCAATAGTAAGTAAATACTAAGTGTTATATAACATGAGTAATCTACTATGTTTCTAAGAATATTTAGTTAAATATAATTTATAGTGAGATAAAAAAAGATAAAATAAGAGGCTATCAATCTACTTGTGTTATAAATATTAAGCAATTATATTTTTACATATCCATGGTCTATTATTGTATAATAGACAGGTTGGTATTGAATATATATACAGTATATACTGTACTATAAATGAGTTTAAATTTATACTAATTAAAATATAATACTATATATATATACTGTATATATATAGTATATCAAATTTTTAATACAAATTTGATAAGCATTTTAAATATATAAAGATTTTTTTTTGAAAGAAATAATAGTTTTTTATATTTACAACATGGCTTCGAATACTTTTAGTTTTTCTATTTCTTTAATTTTAAATTTTTGAAAAATTATATAAACAATTAAAAAAATAACATATAAGCTTAATATATAAATTGTTTAAAATATACTGTATTATTGTTTAGCTATTTTACAAATCTCATTAAATAAATTTGAAAACCAAAGCTTTTTAGATTCTTAATATCTTTAAGATACTCAAGTTTGTCCTATTAAGAACTTTTGTATTATCAAGATACAAAGCATGATAACCAAGATAAAACTTAATTTTTATCAGATTAAGTGCAAATTTGGCATTTTGAATATATAGCTTTTAGCCAACTACAATATAAGCGAAATTTATCTCTTGATGAAGCACTAGTATCTAACAGAGCTTAATATAACCAACGAAGCCTTTTCAAAATGTATGTATGGATTCTGTGCCAGGATTGTGGCGCAACAAAAATTTCAAGTTTAAGGTCAGCATTATATTAGGATTAAATTTTAAGGAGTTATATAATAAAATCGCTCAGTGACTTTTGACCCAAATGCGCATTTTGCCCATCTCTATTCCGGAGTAAACTACGCAGTTAAAATCCATAACTTATGCGCGCTGTTCATTTTCTCGCATGTACTGAATTGAGTCCTATTATTGATGCAAAATCGGTTAATCCATATAGCTAGATATACTTACTGATCAACTACAAATCTTTCGTTCCATACAAATCCAAAAATAACAACATATGAAATTGTCCCAAATCATGAGTTTTACCAACAAATATAATCGATTCGCCGTACTTAATCCTCGTTCTAATACCTTTTTTTAATATTCAGATGAAGACTCGATCATAATCGATTGATTTTGCATTATTGATAGATATCAGTTTTTATGTAAATTACATATACTGTAAATAGATTTTATTATTGAAATAGTATTTTGGAATCTGTAACATAAATTTCATTGATAGATGATGAGCTATTACACAGATTTCAATTTTTGGCCACCTACTTTATCTCCTTGTAAACATGTAATTTTTAAGCACTTATAAGGCTTGATGCAACCCTTATAAAGTTACAAAATGATTTTTTTTTAATGCTAATAATTTTTTAAACACTAAAATTTAAACTTTACATTATGTCGGTATTTGAGTTTTGTATAATAATGTTACAATGAAACTAATGTAATTATAATATTTCCCACTAACCCTATTAATGAACATAATCCGAAACAAAAAATTTTGACATAAATGCTTCAAAAGTATTACAATTAGGATTTTTATGCTTTCCTGTTATCAAGCTAATATCTGATGAACGTTCCATATATGAATTATGATACATTGTTATATTAGAACTATGAAGATTACGCAAACTGTTCCGAAATGCTTGAACTGCAGTTTGTCGTACCAAAGGTCCTAATACATTCTTCGACACTACCATGCCATGTAACAATGGCCCAAATGGAGGGATTTTGTTATCGCGATAAATGTCTATGCTAAATAAGCCATTAGGCAAAGGAGTAACAACAATCTGTGCATTGCCAAAATCACCTCCAATAGTCGTCTTACGATAATCTCTGTGATGCTCGTTAAACACTATGTGAACATGATCATTACCTATGTGACGTTTCTTATATGAAAAAATAAAGTGTTAACATGTAAAATGAAATATGATGCAATACTAATAATAACATACTTTTTTTAATTGCTTAGGATCGGTTAAATCTGTCGGCATCCTGGTTACGTCATGGAAAATTATTTCCATCGTCGAAGTGCAATAATAAATTGATGTAAGACCATTGGTTGCATTTCGTTCTAATCCACCAAGGTATCCAGGATGTGTTGCAAGTTCAATTTCCCATCCAAGACTTGCTACAAATTCATCATACAAAGGGCTACCATTCGTATTATGTAAAATACTTTTTTCATTTTCTTGGCCGGGACCAACATATAAGAGAGCGACTTTAATCACTTCACGAGCATGTTTCTTATCTAAAAAGCGTATATCACGAAATAAGTTAGGTGTTTTATTTAACATACTAATAGAATCATCTTTCAATGCTTCAGGGTTAAGCCACCCAAGATGGCTTAAAAATAATCGACAAAGTTGGTAAGATTCTGTAGGTTTTTCAGCTTCAGGAGGTAGCACCGGAATAAATGACTTTGATAGTGAAAAATCTGCTCCAAGTGATAAGTAAGATGTCGACCGAGTATAAAGTGGATTCCGTGAACGTCTTTTAACATGACGATTTTCACGTTCATGAAAGATATTGTTTCTAACGGAGATGATGTTATCATACCATAGTTTTCTTAAAAAGATAGAAATCCATTGAGCACACCATTAGTTATAAAAAAAAAAAAAAGCAATCCAAAGTTTAAATTAGAATCTTACGCCTGGTTATTTATAGAGTTTTCATAAAGTGTTTCTTCCTGTATGTGTTGGTCTAGTTGTTCTTCAATTAGAGATAAACCATTTACAATCTTTAAAGACGTGCTAGGTAGACCCTCTTCATCTTTTGTACAAGTTGATTGTTGGTCAATACTTTATTTAAAAGCAAATATTATTGTTAATAAACATGTAAACATACAGTATTTGATAAGCTTTTAGAATAACTTGATTAACTTACTATTGGAGTAGATTATCTAACATATTTACATGTTCAGAACTGCTAGTTTCGGTCCAAACAGGTAATCGATTTTTATCTTTGAAGAAATTTCCTGGTCGATATCGTGATTTTATCTTTGGTGATGAGTCAGCACTAATTAAAAAAAAAAAAAAGAAACAAATACAGATCAATATAATCATATAATCAATAAATTCTTATTCTTATCTATAACTAACTATAGACGATAATTTAAATATAAACAAAAACATACGATTTAGGTTTACTATTACTTGACTCAACTTTGATATCAGGTCTCAGACTTATATGGTCAATAACTTCAGTATCCTTATGCGTATCTACTCTCTCAGGGTATTTATCGTCAAGAGAAGCTTTATAAAATAAGCTTGAATCCCATGCGTATCGGCCAGAAAAGTCTCGTATAATCATTCGTGATACTATACAAACAAAGTTATACTTATCCGAAAAAGGCGCTAATGTTATAATAAAACATATATATATATATATATATATATTTAAATACCTGAAGAATTATCTTCCGGTATTTCAATTAAAGTAATTATTGTCGTATCGTTAAAAGAAAAATAATGGTAATTATCGGACGCTTCATCATCTTTAGTGTCACTTCCTAATGGCCCAATTAAAGTACTTATACACATATATTCCAAGTTAGATATTAGTAAACAGAATAAATATGGCAGCTGATGCTGAAAATTTGACCTATTTATTATGAAATTTTAAAATTTCTGTGACCTCTTTGCAGATTTTTTATGGATAAGTTAGAACTTATGTTAATAAAAGAGTATTAATAGATATTATAGGTGGAGGTTCCAATTTCAGCATAAGCTGCCACAATAGATAATTCGGTTATAAGCCTTTACCTATTCATCATTGCAGGACCATGAAGAGGAGCAAAATTATCCAAGTGGTGTGTCAAATGTAACAACACATATTCTGCAACTTCCTTGAAATATAAAAAAAGTAAGCTTATATATCTCTAAACACCAATGGACTTATGGGGCTGACTGTGATGTTAACCATCTCAGATCCTTTAACATATATAAATATAATACACCATAAATCCATTGTATGCATTTGATTTCAACATGAAATCAACATGACTAATTATTACTTTGACAAAATTAACATCTTCCACATCATTCTCTACTCCAACCACGTGGATATTCTGTTCATTGTCAAGAGTTGAGTTCAACGCAACTTTTCTCTCCGCTTTTTTAAATTTCACAGTAAAATCTCGGTCTTTACTTTTTCCACTCCCTTTGTTCGATAAATTTGTGCAGTGTTTTCTATAAATTCTCGGCGAATCAGACTAATTTAAAGCGTAAATAACAATAATTGAGAAATTAAGCATTATCTATAAATTATAAAAATAACAAAGATTCTCTATCGACATACTCCCGAAGCTTCAAGTGCCATGTCAATCACATCAAATACTAATTGGCATAACTCTGTATCGGTGAAAAGATTTGTCGGAATGACCATTAGCCACTCAAGAAGACAATAAAATAACTTTGCTATTATGAATCCTGAAGAAAAACATGTAAAACCAATATTTTAGCGAATAACATTATAAAAATAAGAGTAAAACATCAACTTGTGCTTTACCTCTGCCATTTCTATTTGATGTTTTATGCAAATTAAGATGTTCATTCAGGGCACCAATAAGATATGCAAAAACTTCTTGCAATATCATAATGTATATCTAAAATAAGCATATTTCAGTATCCAATTATCAAAATATATCTTTTAAATGATACAAAAAATCTCTTACTCCATTTTCATCACACCAAAGAGAAGAATTCTGTGCAAAAGAAATCAAGCAATCCGTAGCTGCACTAACAATTGGCAAGTGACTCCAATATAACTGTTCTAATATTGCTTGAAAACATTCCTTGACAATGGTTTTGTCGGGCCTATTAGAAAGTGGATAGTTTAAGAACTGTAAAAATAATAGTGCTAGGAATACAATTTAAAACAAACCATGGTGTAGCGGTAAGTTCATCAAAAGCAAAGGTAAAAATTCCATATAACAACATATTATGTGTTTCGTAATTATAAACCGACATTTCATCTGCAAGGGAAGATATTAAAGCATCCTCCAGAAGCAATCTCACCTAAAAAAAAAAAAAAACATGTAAATATGAGAATTGTATTAACAGAAATAAAATATAGCTCAGAAGATGTCATTTACTTCAGAAAATCGCATGCTATCGAAATGACCTAATTCTGATGCGTCCAAATCAGTATTATTAAACTGAACGAGATTTTCATACGATATTATCGGAACTTTAACAGTCGGCGTTTGATTTACTATACAAATAAGCGAGCAAATTATTTTAATGGCATTCTGTCTTGCGACTTCTGCTATATGTTTGTCATTTTTTAACAGCATATTCCGAATTGCTTCAATAAAACTCTGACATAAGATGCTATATCCTGGAAGCCCTCGAGAGAAAAGCTTTGTAGAATTATTCACAATTGCAAGCGTTATTGAAATGTCCTGTTCTGAAAATCCTTTGAGTAAAGCGCGATAAAAATGGGGATAAAACGCCTCGTCGAAATCTTGATTTTGACGTTGAGACATCATTTTACATAATCCAGCGTATGCCAATGCTCGTCCCGGGGTAAATGTTCTATTAAGTCAAAATTTTACGAGGAATCAGAACAAAAGTAATAGTAACCCATATCAATTCATGCACAGATTACTTTTTGTTTACCTACAAAGGCAAATCACAAGCTTGAAAAAGCCAAGGAGCAAAGTCGTAATGTAGAGATAATGAAAAGCTTCCACATTTATTATTACGGACCTAAAGCAAAAAAAAAAAAAAAATTAGTAAATTTAAAGCGCACAAAATTTCACAAATTTCACTACTCACTAATTCTAGCATTTCCAGCATGTCCACAAGACACTTTATTGCATCTGCATGGTTTGACGCAACCTTAAAACATAAATGTTAAATTTACTATATATATAAATATTAAATATGTCAAAATTACTTTTGTACCTGTATATAATTTACATTTCCTAATGCACATAACATATTTCTCCATACTAGGACAGCGCTTTCACCATTCCATGGCAATGGCTCCAAATTGCAATAATCGGGACATCTGAAATTACCCAGAGATATTGATAATTTTTCGCCGCTAAAATTTGGATGTGCAAAAAATACGGAAGATGAAGAGGTCCGGTGTGACTATACATTTTACACCACTGATTAATAAATAAGTTACACTCAGCGAAATAAAAAAAATGCGACGCATTTAAAAGCAATGTACTTTGGACTCAGCTGTATCGTCAAACGCAAGTTCGCTACTAGCATCAAAAAAGTCATCTTCACCTTCAGCTTCTTCACCATCGTCATCTGATGCAGCACTACCAGAATGTGTTGATGAAGCAGGACCACTGCCTACAACATTAAATAAAGTCTGTCCGCTTAACAATTTTGGATCCAATGAATTCATATCTTGATGCATACTCAGCGTTCGGCGACCGCATTTATTATTATCAGTAGTATTTTTAGCAGACAATGAAAAATCAGCATTGAGTGCTCCCAGGACCTCCTCACGTGAAGAAGTGCTACCAGAAGATTTATGTTTATGTGTCCCTCGCAAAGAAAGATGTCGTGTGCGATTTTTGGAAGGTCTACGTCTATGATGATGACGTTCAGAGGTAGAAAGTTCTGCAAGTCGACGGTCTAATTCAAGAGCATCAAGGTCAACATTATAGACATGCTTCGAAATAATTTTAGTAAGACGTAGCATGATTTTCTAAAATTAAATTGTTAACAAGTTAATTTACTCTTAAGACTCAAAATTCAACTGCCCTGATATAATGGACTTTATACTTACAGCCCATTGAGAAATAGTTTGAGACCATCTTGTACTATAACTCATTTGATTCCTTAATTCTCTCCATAAGTCAGGTTGCTGAGCTTTTGACCGTGCGAATGCATTCAGTACTGTCTAGTATTGAAATAATGTTACACGAGACTGAAAGCAAAGACAACAAACAAAGTATATAAGTACTAACTTCGACTAGATAATCAGCTAGTTCTTCTGCCAATGATGCTGAAGGTATTGCAGCATACTTATCTTTCTGATTCATAATTTTTTCTTGAATAACCAAAAGTGACAAAAGTAAAACTTCCCTGTAATCGATATTGTAAAGCGTAAACAAAATAATGCTAAAAATTATACTAATTAGCTTAATAGAATCTCTGTGCGTCCAGAGCGAGATTATATAATTTCAAAAAAAAAAACTGTTTATACGAATGTTATAATGAAAGTATTATATTAATCCAATCAATATTCAATAAACATATTATGCGTAGGACAATCGGACATTGATCTTCCGTTTCGCTCTGGACAATCAATAAAATTTACCATGTTTCCGTCTCTATCTCAATAGGTCCTTCTGAAATCATTGATCGATAAAGAGCAAGGACATCTTTATATATTGAAACTTGCGAATCTACCTGTAAAGGAATTAGTTATAAAGCATTTTATCGCTTTAAACTTTTTACAATTGTAAAAAGTGTTTTACCTCTAGATTGGTCATACCGTTGAGGGTCATGAACGAATGGTCTTCGAAAACGAGACTTAATAATTGAATGTATCTCCGGAGGTACACATTAGCGCTCGAATATGTTGTGGAAAACGAAGTAGCTGATGAAGGTGTAATAGCTGGTGTGCTTGGATTTTCACTCTGACTATCTACTGAGGAAGTATGATTATTAAAAGATCCGGTTGTAGAAGCGGATAGTGGACCTTGTGATGGAGACTTGCGTAAGAATGCTGGTCTCTCTTCTTCCTGTAAATATAAATAAAAATATAATAATGTTAAGAATACAAAAATAATCCATAGTCATTAATATATTAATAGAGATCACTTTAATTGTAGAATTAATCAATAGATAAACGCTATTTGTACTAACTCCACTAAGTATCCAGACACCAACAATATGAACAGCACCTCTCACAATATCTTTATATAATGGGCTACCAGCAGGCAACATAAGAGCTTGGCGCACTATTTCATGCGCAAATTCGCGATTCTCTGGGCCCAATACAATAGACTTTAGGATTGGAGTAGCAGGTGAAGGATATGACGAAATCTTTTCTGATGGGCTATGATGATTATCAAGACAGTGGTGGATAAAAAACGTGATTAATGCACGGAGAATTGTCGGTGGGCATTTTTTAAAACCGTACTCTATTAAACATATATAAAATATAAAAAACAAACCATAAAAGTTAGTAAAAAATTACAAATGAAAATAAAAAAAAAAAAGCTTTATAATAAAGAATATTTAATTACCTTGATTTTCTGCCAGCAAACCAATACTCTTAGCACATTGAGGAAAAAGTTTTACAAAATAATGTTTTTTTGTAAGATCAAAATGAAATTTAGCTGCAGCAAAAGCAGCATCAATGCCCATCCCGGTTGCTATTCCATTATCAGGTTCGATGTTTTCAATTGCGGGAAAATCATAATTTTCTGGTGGTGGAGTTGAACCGGCAGCAACATGTGCTAGCCTAACAAGACTACTTAAATCAAGTTGGATCAATTGTACAGCATCATTATAAGTAGGGGGATGAGGATTCGGAAATAGTGGGGCTTGATCATCGGCTATAAAAAAATTTTATATGTTAATCATATAACATTCACAGTTGCAATAAATTTACTTTTAGTAAACTCACATCGAATTAACTCTTGTCCGAGCCCTAAATGAACATTGCTTTTTCGCCATGCATTTTGTCTTTCATAATAATCATCACCTCCATTCCGTATTTGATCATACAAAAATAAATCTAACGAAATAGCGTTTGAATAAAGATACATGCACTCTTGCAACTCGATAGTTTGATCATTTAACCATAATAACAAAAGCTGAAATCCTTGTATCCGAACACGCGGATGATTTCCGTGATCAAGTAGATGTGATAATATTTCAGCTTTTTTTAAATAATAATAATGATAATAGTAATGATGAAAATTAATAACATAAATATTTAAATATACAAGCCACCTAGTAAACTCGAAGTCGATTATTATCGATAATACCTATTTGTCTCCGCTGCCACCCCACTCTAATTTTGTCTGGTAAGAATAAAAATATTTTTCGTAATAATAACAAGGTCTTATTTATATTCAAAAATTCTTTTGACGAAAATGTCATGGGTCTATCAGGTTTTTCTACCAAATAAACAATTATACATATACAATAATTTGTTAGATACATTTATATTTTTTTAAATAAGGTTGGTTTTTTATCTGTTTTAAATTCTCACGTTTTATTTTTTCGGCTTGGCCCATAAATGACTTATAAACTACATCGAATACATCTTCGGCATGCTCCTGAAAGAATTGAGCTTGATCTAATTCATTCGTAACATCTTTATTTCCACAAAATAAACAATCAATTAATTGAAAAATAAAAAAAAGAACACTACTCCTGTAGCTATAAGTTAAGTACACTACACTCCACCAAGAGAATAGCTCACCAATAAAACTCCAAAGTGATGTAATTCTTGCTTTTGGTTTTTGCCTTTGATCCAAGAATATCTTTGCCTTTTTTAATAATTTCTCCATCCTATCATCTTTTAACATGCCTTTGTTCTCTCTATTCATATCGAATGTAAATAATGAATTTGCTTTGCGCGAAGATATTGAAGCTGTAGGTGAATGTTGACTTGAAGAATTTCCACTATATGTTCCCAAACGCTTAAGTATGCTATTATTACCGATATTATTACTAGGTAAACGGGCTCCGTTGATATCTGGAACACTGATTTTATTAAAATCAAAAACAATAAAAAGATGAGATTTTTAGTATATTGCACATTCGACATATGTGATGATCGACGTTAGCTGAGCGAAACATCTGATCATCAGTTGCGGAATCCAAGACATTTTTTTCAATCTTTACCTTTCTATTGATCGTCCTTCACTTTGCTCCAGACAATTATTATTACAATTATTATTATTATTATTATTATTACTATTATTATTATTATTATTATTATTATTATAATTTATAATATTACTATTAATTAAATCGCAATTTATTTTATCGAGGGTTTCGGTTAAATGTTCTTCAGCAGTTGATGTTAAAGGAAATGAAGACTGTAAAGGAGGGCTGGGCGAATAATTGTTGTTAGGAGAACGACTATTTTTTCTCCGTAGTATATTATCTGTGCGAGAAGACTGCAAAAGTTGTTGTTGTGAAGGAGCAATATTATTAATTACAGTAGGACTAGCCGAATTTAAATTGTTTGCAGAAGCATCTGTCTCTGTCTGAACTATCATTGTTTCGATTGGTCTCTGAGAAGAAACCGAAGTCCGTCTGTGCAATATTTTTTGATTAATATAATTTGTTGCATTGACGAAAGTTTGTTTGGCCTCCTCGCTTAGAGTACCTCTTCGTGGCCTTGTATGAGGTGTAGACTGCCCTATTGTTGTTGAGATACCCTCCTTGCCCTTTGAAACTTCGTCCGACATCCTTTAACGTTTGATGACACAATGTGCTTGTGGTATAAATTATGCACAACTTTCGATCCACGGCATTAAGTCCCAAAAATGGTATTCACGTGATAAGCATAAATATCACCTATATTTGAGGTATAATCCTACGACATACAGGCATATAAATTATGTGTAGTCCACGTTAAAATTCGTCATGCATACGATAACAATAACTACTACTTTTGATCATTCTTGAAATTATCTGGATACAATTATTTAGTGTTGCCAATAAAAGTTTCGATGGGGAAAGTCCTCGATGTATTAAGGCTTGATCCCAGCAGGATTCTTAAAAATGTGCTTATACAAGTTTAAATACACGTAATGTATGTAAACCTCTCGATTTGTGCTGGTATTTTAATTTCTAATCATATGATATTATGTAATTTTGCGTTTCTAAACTGTGGCTTATCAGGCACGGGACTAGAGTCCCCAAATTTCTGCTGCGACAGACTCCAAATATTCTGTAAATTATGCGAAATACGCGAAATTAAGTTATGCTTATAGGTAATATTTTTTTTGTGTGTTAAGGTGGCTTTTTTGGCCATGGGGACTTTTTATTAGGTAGTTACCTTATTACAATTATAACAAAAGTACAACTAGCCACATGTGCACTTTTGGCACCTAATTTAAGTAGTTCGTCTGAAGGTTCTACACTAGATGCTTGTACCTGCAACCCAACTACGGGTTACCTGTTTAAACTTTCTGGTCACAACTGTCATCTATCATTTTTCTAATTGGTCTTCTATTATTTATATGGTTTATATTAATCTTGATATTTACATTTAGCCTTTTTTTCTTTTTTGAATTCTTTACTAATTTCTTTTTACTTTTAGCTAGTAGTCTAGAAAGATTGATTTTGGCTTAATTTTAAATACTTCTAGCTCATCTTTTTTTAGTATATATATATATATTTTTTTAAATATATATTCTTTTTTTCTAGTACAATAAACCTAGTAGCTAAGCTAGTATATTCTCTATTTAAGAATCTAAATACAGTATTTGGTTTTCTTGATTTTTAGTTTTAAATTTAATTTTTTTGTAGTACTATTAAAAATTTTTACTATCTCTATATTTAAGACTTTTTAAACAGATTTTAGTTATTCTAGTTTTTTAAAATTTTGTATTAAAGCTCTTATTCTAGATAGTATTACTAAGATTACAAATTTCTAAATTTAACTAATTGTTAAATAGCTATATATGGGGGTGAGTTAGTAGAAAAGGAACAAATTGTTTTTAGTAAACTTTTTTTAATTTTTAAATTAAAATATTTCAACAACTATTTAATCAAATTTGCCAAAAATTTTTTT